ACGATGCAGGCGTGGGGCTTACCCTAAACCGACGCATTCAGAAGGGGGCTGCAGGATCCGGCCTTGATGTGTGGCGAATCGTGTTGTGATTCTCGCTCCGTGCCGACCTGCTCTTCGGACTTGCGAACCGTGCCACGGTGGCGTAGGTGCTCAACTGCCGACTTGACCCGCAAGTCGCGGTGACTAATCCCGCCAGCGGCGGCCGCATTTCCGATGGAGGCGAATACTATCGAAACCCACGCGCTTAGATTTAGGTGCACGTTTAATAACCCGAGGTGGACGAAAATTCCCGGGCCCTTAATAATCCCGTGGCTCTCGGAGGTTGAGTCACCACACTTTAGACCTGTAGCCCTCGAACCCCCCCCCCCCCCCCAAGTTGGGATGGATCGGGGTGTTTTACAACAATAATAATAATAATAATAATAATAATAATAATAATAATAATAATAATAATAATTTACTATTATTTTGCAAAAGCATCCCGGAAATACAAAATTGGCCTGCCAAAGCCTCACTAAGAATAAATAATAAAAATGCGTATATTTTTAAGGTCTTCAACCCCCCCCCCCCCCACCTCCAAAAATATTCCTGGCTACGGGCTTCCAACAGTTATTTTATATATTTCGGCCTGCGAGGCCGAGGCTTATCTTACTGGAACCGACAAAATTTTGTTTGATGCTTTTATGCGGCTGTACTCTAGACGTCGCGTAAGCTCAATTTCGGACGTCAACTCGTCAACTTTAAAACGCGCGCCTATTCGTGTCGCACACTGCAAGCAATTTTGCACGTGCGACACTATTTGTGTACGCGTCGATTGTGGGCTGATTTCATTGTTTATCCCGAGTGGGACGATATAGCCACTCGATCTCTTTTGATCTCTCCGCGCCCAGGTGTAGACGCCCTCGAACGTGTATACGAAAGCGTGCATGCGCTCTCGCCTATACCGGGAGTAATCGACGCGCCGCCAGCTAGCTTGCACCTGACGCGTGAGTGTATAGGGCAAATTGATAGACGGCCCTGTCTGGTGGTCCCGTGAAGAGGCTCGACGTATCTCTGTCGAGAGAGAGAGCTTACGCACGCACTCGACTGACAAGCACAAGCACACACGCTGTGGAACCCGCGTCGTCTTCGGCCGACCGATAAGTCCGGGCACCCTCACTTCGACCGGAGCTTGCTTTTTCTGCCCGTCGACTGAAGAGGATGGAAGGAACGAAGGGTGGGGAGAGGGAGGAGGGCCTATTGGATGCCGATGAATAACAGCCACGTATGACGACGGCGTGCTGTCTTCTTTTTTTGTTTTCCCCTCTCGGCTTATTTGTTTGACCGTCGACGCCGCGGAAGCCCCGGCTCCTGATATCGCCTCCTTCGAGTCGGTCGCTGCTCGGTTGCTCGTCGCAGCCGCTGCCGCCGGTGTGACACACGCGCACGCTTTTTTTTTCCAGTTCGCCCCCGCTTTCGCCGTATCGTCGTGATTCGCCCGTTGCCGCCGCCGGTTCGACGTGCTCGATCGTGTCTTGGGAGTAGCGATCGCTGGCTTTTCGAGAGTTCGTGAGATCAGCCGCCGGAGCTTCGGTAGCCACCGGTCGAATTTGAAGCGCCGCCGTAGACAGCGCCTCTCGTCTTTTCTCTGAGGTGGGTCTGGTAGATTTGCACCTCCTAAAATCTCTAGGATGACGATCCTAAGGTCTCGCGCTGGAAATGTTGTGCTACCTTAACGATGTAATCTACTCCGATGTGATATGGGTGCCTTCTGGAACCTGTATACCCCTTTTGAACCTCTGTGGGACTTTGCCCGTGTGCTTCTTTGTAATTGGTATTGCGGCTGCTACCGATCGATCGGTAGCATCCTGTCCGTAGCTCATTGACCGTGTTATCCCGGCTGCCAAGACCTTTGTCCTGCGTTTGCATATATTTTTGGGCACCGGCACTTTTTCATGAACTGGCATACGACGTGTTTTCCAAGCCCTTGCTTGCGTAATCATTTACTTGAAGGAACGAGATTTATGAGCTAGTTTTGTTTCCGCGGCTACATTCCAGTGCAAGGATGTGCATTTGCTCCTACTTTCACTTATCTGTTCTTGTTTTGGGGTTTTTGTTTCGTTTCACGTCTTTGAGGTTCATGATGAGTGATTTGCCGTGTCGGAGTATATTCGGTTTCGCAGTTCTTTACATTGGTTCCAGTCGGCATACTGTGTGCTGTTCGATGCTGTAGCCTTAATTAGAGGAAAGATGTTGACCGTATGTATGTAGCTTTATTTAGTACGCGTATGGAAAACACGGCAGGTCGACGAACGCTCGTAAACTCATATGTATTCGTCACTGATCGTATTGTTCGTGTGATACGCGAGCCTAGTCTCAGTTTTTTATCGGAAACGCGCTGCGAAAAGTATATTGACACTTCGGTGAGCTTAACGACTGCGCAGCTTATCAGTACTTCGCAAATATGCATCATTGGTTACGTCATGGAGCCAAGCACCCTTGTCCTCGCAGGGCGTTTGCATATCTTGCACTTCTGTGCAATCTCGCCAGGGTGACGTGTCGAGAAAAGTTGCTATGCCATTAGTAAGCGTGGATCTGTTATCTCTGGCCGCACAGATAAAAGCAAGCGTGGGCGATTTGATTTTGCTTTGTACGTGTTTTGGCGGACACACTCATTGTAGGTTTTTTAGGTTTAGCTTCCCGGCAATTGTAGGTTTTTTAGCTTTAGCTTCCCGGCAAGTACTTTTATTTTTGTAATTCTGTAATAGAGATAACAGTATGTACAATCCTTTATTAATTCACAACGTTGAAGGAAACAACGATATTTAAGTAATGACACACGGACACGATGCATGTTTCCCGCGACAAAGGTTAATTGCTACATATGATGTCGGGCTTCTCGGCAGGAATTTTTTCGAGTGGAGGGGGACACTTGCTGAAGGCATTGAAGAACGCATATTCCCATTGTTTCTTCTATGTAGGATGCCCCCCCCCCCCCTCAACCGAATTCCAGGAAGGGGAAGGGAGGTTGGGCACTCCCCTGCCACGGGCCTGCATTTTGTAAGTAAATAACGTAAAAGGGCCCGTGAGTGAACGAAAAAAAAAAAAGCGTTTGTGTGGTACCTGCCGATTTCGTTGCCCCACTTCTAACAGTTGCCCTTCGCTGTCCTTACATTACGTATATTAATGTATGCTGTCTTGTAATAACCAAACCATTTGCGATAATTGTTGCGCGCAAATGAGGCTTGACGGCGTCGAGTGAGTCAGAACTCCATCCCGCGGATTCAACACTGCACCGTTCAGTGTGAGAGGCTGTACGAAACAGCTGACAAAGCCCGGTCCTGGTCATTTTTATTTGTCCTTTTTGCCTATAGCATTCGCTCACAGCCGCGGCTCACATGCTCGCGTCTCGTCAGATGCGTCCAGAGACACTGCTCAGCAGGTGTTACGCATTTGTTTTGTTTCCTCGTCGCGTTTGCGCAACACTCGTTCGCTCTAGCTGATGTTGCTGCTGCTTCCGCACCGGGTCTGTCTTTCTTTCTTTTTCCTTCGTTTCTTTTTCCTGTTCATTCTTATCGAGTCCGGCCGCCGGAGCTGTTGCGTGCCAGCATTAGTCACATTTCCGCGAGTCCCATTCACGGCGGCTCTGGCGTCGTTTTGACGCCAGATAAGGCAACCGCGAGGTTCTGCGAAACGAGGCCGTCGGCGCACGTGTAGGCGAGCCCTTTTGCATGTCTGGCTGATTGTATTTCGTTCGCCATTATTCTCGTTTGCTGAGGATGCGAGGCATATTTCTACTCGTTTGCGCGGCTGAGTCAGATAAGACGAAGTGCATGCATGAGTGACAGTATGCGAAAGTTTTGCCCAATGCATAGGCGGCACGAATCGATTTATGTGGTCAATTGGGCGCACATGTCCCACTGCAGGGAACACTTGTAGAGCTTTTTGCGCGTATAGTTTCAACAGACGGAGGACTTGACGCCATAAATGAGGACGTAAAGGGAGGGCACACACGAGTCGTATGCGAGGATAGGGCCGCACATTCGATAACCGTTCAATTACTAGTTTTATTTGTCGGATTAACGATAAATTTGAATTGGGAGCGCAAATGTGATCATTCATGCCATGATCGACGCAGCACTACACACAAAGACGAAAAGAACACAGAGTGCACAGGACATCCATTACACTCTGCTCATGTAGCTTTCGTGGGCGCACTTGCGGATGAAAATTTAGCAGTCCTAGATGAAGCTGAGGTTCGCTTTATGTAAGGGACACCTTTCTGCCATTTTTCTATGATATATCTGGAGTGGTCTGGAAAGCTTCCGGTCCAAACCACGACATCCTTGCTTGACTTTGTGATACCGCTTGTGATCCGTACACGATTGTGGGGGCGGCCTCTCGGGGATCGTAAATAGTGAGGATGATTTTTTTAATTCTTAGTGCGACGCGCTTCATTGAGCCCGACAGTACGGTTGATCAAGTTGCACCAGTTTGCTACCCTACACAGGGATAGGGGATATGAAGAGAACAGAGAAAGGAAGAGGGGAAGAGAGGAGATCTAATATATAGCACGCTCGCGCGCGTAGCGTGCGCTCACTGCGCATGCTTGGTCATAAAGCTGCGGACGTTAACAGAGTATGATTCGACTGCGACTGTCTTTGGTGAAGTTAACGGCAATCCACGGTATTAATGAATGATTGCAAGGACGGCATCAAAGGTATCCAATGCTTTCAGTGCGCTGAGCTGATGTCCTTACGTTGAGGAGTGGGCTTATTTTGCTTATCAATCACTCCAGCACAGTGACGGCACGCGCAGGTCTTCGTCGCGGCCGGAGACGAATGAATTTGCGCCTCTATATCATCGTGCAATGCTTGTAATGACGGTCTGAGCATTGGTAGATAGAAATAAGGTGTCACCTGTTTGACAGTGTACTGCAGCCAATAATTAGCGACGCTTTCACTGTCTTGACTATATGTCGTCACTCGAGCAGCTCCATCCAACCTGCCCTTCTCGTGCAGGCTGAAGGGCTGGCCCGTGTCTGGCGGCCATGACGAGGCGGGACCGCTGGTGGGCGGCCTGCTCGCTGCTGCCGCCGCTGCTGCTCCTGTTGGCGGCGGCGCCCCCCTCGGCCCATGGCCTGTGGCCGTCGCCGCTCCGGCAGCAGCCAGCCGGCCCGCCGGCCTCGTCGCCGGCCGCGGCGCAGGAGCTGCGCCAGGCGGCCAACGGCACGACCAACAGCACCGTGCCGGAGAAGCCGGCCATCTTCACCGACCCGTCCACCGAGAGGTTCATCCACATGGCCGTCAACAGCTACACGGGACAGGTGAGCACATATGCCATGACTGGTGCCTGTCATCTTCGAGGACAGGAACCTAATTTGCGCTCTTGTTTACACTATCGGGAGAGGCTTATTCATTCCAAACTTCCTTCCTGCACGCAGGTGTACATCGGCGCCGTGAACGCCATCTACCAGCTGTCGAGCAAGCTCGAGCTTCAGGCGCGGGCCGTCATGGGGCCCGAGAAGGACGACCCGGGCTGCCCCGTGACGCGCTTCTGCCCGTCCATCACGAAGAAGTACCACGACTACCACAACAAGGCGCTGGTGATCGACTACCCGCAGAGCCGGCTCATCGCGTGCGGCTCGCTCTTCCAAGGGGTGTGCACCGTGCACAGCCTGGAGAACATCACCAACTACCGGACGCCCGCCAACGAGTCTGTGGTGGCGAACAACGCGACCGCCTCCACGGTGGCCTTATCGCCAACGGGCCCGAGCGCCTCTCGCGCATGCACGTCCTCTACGTGGGCGTCACCTTCACGGGCAACGGACCGTACCGGTCGGACGTGCCCGCGGTGTCGTCGCGCAGCCTGGACCTGAGCAACGACACGTTCTCCGATCGCCGTCACGGGCGTCTCGACGGGCACCAAGGTGTTCGTGAACAGCCTCGCGCGCGAGGTGTACCCCATCACGTACGTGTTCGGCTTCAGCTCCCGCGGCTTCTCCTACTTCCTGACCGTGCAGAAGCAGTTCACCGAGGAGCCCAAGCCGTACATCTCGAAGCTGGTGCGCATCTGCCAGAACGACGTGCACTACTACTCGTACACCGAGGTGGCGCTCGTCTGCCAGACGCCCGACGGCATCCACTACAACCTGGCGCAGGCGGCGTTCGTGGGCAGGCCGGGCTCCGAGCTGGCCGTCTCGCTCGGCATCACCGCCCAGGACGAGGTGCTCTTCGTGGTGTTCGCCAAGAGCCGCGACGAGACGGACGTGTACAACCGGCCCAGCCAGAAGTCGGCGCTGTGCGTGTACGCGCTCACCGCCGTGCACCGCAAGTTCACGCAGAACATCAACGACTGCTTCAACGGCCAGGGGGTCCGCGGCCTGGACTTCATCAACCCCAGCAACCCGTGTCAAGATACGGTCAGTGTTACCCACTTTACAGCGAAGCGCTTTCTCTTGAGGCTCGTTCACAGCTGCGGCTGTAGTACCGGTCGCGCGACCATGTTCGTCGCAACCTTGGTGCACTCGCTCGCTGCCCTACTTTCCAGTGGCGCGACCGTAGTCGCAAACCTCTGAGCCAATCAGGTGCGCAATACAGGACGTCAGCTTATTTTGCTCTGCCAGAGCGATGCGGGCAGATGGGAATTCAGCGGGGCGACGGGCATCAGTCCTATGCAGGTGGGAAAATCGATTGCCTTAAACAGCGGCAAATGGTCGCGCGATCAGTGCTATATAGTCGCAGGTGTGAATACGATCCTTTAATCCACCCCGTTTCGTAGTATTCGTTGTAGTAGGTGTCGTGCGGATTACGTAAGCATTTGGGGCAAGGGGGGGGGGGAGGACAGGATAAAGGAGTAACTAAAACAAAATGATGGTGATGATGCTCGCGAAAACTTCGCCGGAACGTGGGAGCACAATGTAATGCCTGCCGAAAGAAGCGCGACAGCTTCGTTTTCCGACAGTTTTCACGGTGTGAAACTGGCGATAATTTTTTCTTGTTCGAATTTGGTTTATGCCGATTTCCGAAATGTAGCCCCGCCGCGGTGGTCTAGTGGCTGAGGTACTCGGCTGCTGACCTGCAGGTCGTGGGATCGAATCCCGGCTGTGGCGGCTGCATTTCCGATGGAGGCGGACATGTTGTAGGCCCGTGTGCTCAGGTTTGGGTGCATGATAAGCAACCCCAGGTGGTAAAAATTTCCAGAGCTCTCCACTACGGCGTCTCTCATAACCACGTGGTCGTTTTGGGACGTTAAACCCGAGATATAAATCAATCATCAAATTTCCGAAATGTAATTTCTTGGTTTGGCCGTCCCATTAAATAGTTGTGCAATTTGCTTGCCGGTTTCGTTACAAGGTGCACAGCTTAGCTATTGTGTATTTCGTGCTTGTATGATTAGCACATGCACTTTTATAGGCGGCGATGTCTAGAAAAAGCGTTCGTTCTGTTCGTGCCCTTGTTGGCTGTTCGAACAGCAATATCTATCTAATGGAGTGCACGCGAGTCTTCTTGCGCGCGTGTTGCTACGTTTTGTTTTATGAATCAATTGAGCAGCGGATTCCTTCACGGTCGCCGTCGTCTCGTGTCCGCTTTTAATTTTTATTCGTTCGTGCGAATATTAGAACCACGAAAAAAAAGGAGGGGGTGGAGAAAGCTATAGGCTAATTGCTTCAGACAGCAGGATTTTGCCTTATGTAAACGACACGGTAGCTTTCCTTCCCTGTCTCAGCCTATGTACGCCGATATAATGCGTCTTCCTCTAAGCGATTACGACGCTCTTGAGAACGATAATTTTCTTTGACCTTAGATTATGAGAATGATGTCTCATGATCCTCTCGAGGCTGTACTATTTTTTTTTTCCGAATTCCGGTTTGATTCACACTTTACATGAGTTGCATAACTTAGTTGATCTCTATCTCTTTCTCTCTCTCACACACACACAAACTCTCACTTCCCTACCTTTCTTTCGTTCATGGATCGCTCTCTACTTTGTTTCATTTCTCTACGCATCACTCCCGTCATCGGCTTCCGACGCAACCGTCCACGCAAGTTCAGCAAGTAGCCGAGCTCGCCTTCAGAGTGTTCCGTCGAATTCTCACTGCACTCTCGCTTTACTACGAGAAAAAAAAGTTGTAGGGGACTTAAGTAGGGGACGCCGCAAGACCGACGCCTTGTCGTCGAACAGCTCGGGTGCTACGATTAAGCACCGGGCGCCAGCCACTTCCCCCAAGAGACCGTCAAATCCGGGTACAGGCTTCGGTAGTCCACGCTGCGTCCCGCTGGAGAGCCGCTATAGAAAACCTTCAGGGTGAGAAAGGATCTACGCGTTAGCATGTGTCATATATATATATATATCTCACGGGCAGCAACCGAACGACAACTTCGTCGCAGGACGAGGCTTTGCAGTGTCCCGAGGTAAACACGAGAGAGCTTCGCTGACACGTTCGCTCGCCCCTTGACGCGTGCATGGAGCCTCCGCGTGTGGCCGAGCCGAGTGGCAACAACATCGCTTGCTCCGAACTGTTTGCCGAGCCTGCGAGACGAGAGATAGCGCTCGGGTCTCCTTCTCGTGTACATATATATATGTCGTCGCTCCTATATACACGGTAATTGAAACAGTCACACCACGCAAAAAAAGAACAACAAAAAAGAAGAAACACTGACAACTGACGCCTTCTTCATAAATCCGCGAGACTCGCCGGCCCCTGGCTCTTCTTACGTCACCGCCGTGTCGTCGTCAGTGCGTACTTGTATACTCTTGGGCTCTTTGAGAGACGTGTGGTGTTGCTTCCCGCTAGCCCGTCTCTCCGAATGTGTTTAAGCCAACCACGCCTTCGCACTTATCTTCTCGACGGAGCTCTCCTCCGGGATTCGACGAGTTCCTCCGTAGCGTGCCCACGTAGTACTTGTGCGTGCTGAGCACTTCGGCTACACGATCAGTCTGTCTGTCCAGCGGGACGGTTTTGAGGGATCGATGAACCGTCCGCTAAGCGGGTGTAACGGCGTGGTCGGCCGGGAAGATACTTTGTGTGTTAATGGACTTTCGGTTGTGGCTGGCCTGTCTCGTGATATTTATTCCCTGTTGATGGATTTTTTTCCTTGTTTTTTTTTTTCTTCATCCTTTCCGGCGCGCCACGTACGTATATATACCCTATGCCGTGTCCTGAATCTTGCTTCCTCTAGTGCGGTTTACCGTTATCTCTGTTCCTTGGATACCGGACACGCCATGTACAGGGAGAGCCTTTCGATGTCGTGTGTATATATATAAGTGTATGCGCATGCCCCGCAAAGAAATGTATCTACAAAAAAAAAAGTAGAAAATATTGCGGCATTGTTGCTAAAGCGTTCGTGTGGGGACTCGACTCGAAGCTAAGAGTGTTGAGCGCATTTTTATTCCCATTTGTTCCTGAACAACAGCCCAGGTGGTCTCTTGTTTGGCTACGCGTTCTTTATCATATTCACTTCTTTTGTTGGACGTTCCACGCTGGACCATGACTTTTCCTTTACATTCGGTGGCGCTTTGACGAAACGTTGGGACGCTGGCAAAACGGGAGAGAAATATCAGATCAACCAAAGCAGGAGAACTCTTAAAACTCGGAGAGTGGGCTGGCTCCTAACAGGAGCGAGAAATCGACCAAAAAAAAAAGCGCACCGACGCCGGCGCGTCAAACACCTTGCGGCATTGCCTCTCCAAACGCAGCCCTTAGCGTGTCCGTCATTCAAAAAGAAATAATATTTATTCTTCTTTTATATTCCCTCCACCTGGTTTCTCCTTCACCTTGCTGTCGTCATTACTTTCCAACTCTGTTTACCTTGTGTTTTTTTTTTTTCTTTTATGCATGTTGTTGGGGAAGATCGGCGGATTATTGGGCTTCTCTGTGTATCTCCCGCGTTTGGCAGGAAAGCCTGATGCGCCGGCGTAAACCGAAACCGGTTTCTACTAGTCCCGGGGACGCTGAGGCTTTTGGTATCTTCTTGTGCAGTGGGGAACAAGGCAAGCAGCTGTAGGGATGGTGGAACGTTTTCCTCCCCGTGTTCTTTTATTTCTTCTTCATCTCTCTATTCGATATTTTCTTCTTCCTTCTCTCTGATCCATGCCTCTTCCCTCTGACCGGGCAGGAAGGCGTAAGAGAGACGGGTGGACGAAAGAGATCCCGTCGCTTGTGTGTTCGTTTATCGACGCCCAGCGCGGCGAGCGGCCATTGATTCCTGCTGCGAATCGGTTCTCCCGACTGTACTGGGGCTGCAGCTGGCCCCCGTCGCCTGGCTCGCGTCTCCTCCTACGCTCTGCTTCTGGTTGTGCCCCCGTCGCTTCTGCTCGCCACCTTCTTTCTAGATTTACTTCATTCAGCTTCGCTGTTTTGCTGCTTTCTTCGTTGAGTGCTTCGCCGGAGAGCGAGAACATTGCCGCTCGGCCCTTTTGTTTCTCCTTATTCCTTCCCATCGATTGGGTTTGTTGATCCTAGGTGTCCTTAGCGGTTCACGCTGGCGTGGAGTGTTTCAGTGTTGTTGTGGAGGATGCAGTGAGAGGACTTGTGGTGGATGGTGAGACGTTCCGTTCGCCCCCTGGGCTCGCTCCTTTTGTCCTGTAGTTTTGTTTGCGTGAGGGGAATGGGTGGGGAATCGTCGGTGCTTCAAGGCAACGCAGTATCTCTCGTTCGTTGCTTTTGAGGGGGATTAGTTCTGGCGTTCGAATAAAACTTATATCGAGATTCTTGTTAATTTATTTTATTACTCTTACGTATGTCGTTCTCTGGCCTTGTTGACAGAAAGCGCCAAGGCACAATCATTCCTTCCAACGTTTGCGATGTCACTGTGGATTGCCCTCTGTGGCCTCATCACCATCTGACAATAGTCAATCGCTATGGAGCATTATATTTTAATAATTTCTCTCCTCCCATATGCGTACAGAAGCTCTATATGTATGCCAAGACATACTAAAATTTGCTAGGGCAGATTTACCTGCGAAGCAGCTGTTAGGGGGGGGGGGGGGGGTGGATCTTTAGAACGTTTCGCTTTCTCTAGGATTAACGAAGCCTTTTCTGGTGGCAAATAATACGAAAACTAAGCTTGGCTTTGATCAAGGCGAGATGCTACAGGTCCGAGTGCTGTGCGATGTCAGTGGTCGCCAAAGAAGCACCAGGTCGTCTATATTTCCCGAGCACTCACTACGGCGTGTCTCGTTATCACGTCGTGTTTTCGGCAAATAAAACCATGCAAATTACTATAAACCTTAGCTTCGGAAAAGTAAACAAAAAAAAAAGGCTTGACCAGGCTAAACTTGCCGTTGCTGGGCGCCGCCACGTCGGACCGTGATCCCGATGTTTTCATGTTTTCGTATATATCGCTACGTTAATTAATATTAATATAGTTATGAAACAACGCATGCACCAACCCAATCATTTTCCAGCATATGCATGTG